GCTTGGTACGCGACGATTTGGAAACCTTGCCGAATACACCCTCACACTCTCTCGACCATTTCCTTGACAATATCCGAATACCAATAACATATCGGTGTATTCTTCATTGGTGTATTGTACGGCCATGATAAATCAGAAAAGTCCGATATCAACAATCAACGTCAATAAAACTCGACAAATCAACACAGATGAAACTATGGAAACCAAGAATGTGAATATCACTGTTTTCGAGCAGATAATAATAGTCTTCAGAAAAAAAAACCAGTGCTACTTATTTTCAATAGAAATAACCTATGCAAAAAGTACATCTCAACTTTTTGCGTTGTATAAATCTTTGTATACGTGAAAATGGTGAACATTTTGAACAATTTTTATGAAATATCTGTTAATCGTTTTATTATTGATTATGCTCTTAATCACTGAAATTAAAATTTTGTCGAAACCATTCGACCATTTGTCAAGAGTACCTTTTTTGTAGTGAATGAGTTGAACAATCTAGATTTCATATTGAAACTAACTTTTTCCATTGGCGTAGGAGTTTTAGATGTTTATTTACTGAAAAAAGCAAGTTCTACGCCCATGGAATGATATTCATTATGATTAGGATTTCAACTTTTTGCGTCGTATAAATCTTTGTTCACGCGAAAATAGTGAACATTTTGGAAAACTTTCATGCAATATCTATCAATCGTTTTATTATTTAAATATGCGCGAAATCACTAAAACTTAAATATTGTCGAAACCATCAGAGTAATCGAATTTTATCAAGAGTACCTTTTTTGTAGTGAATGATTTGGGCTATCTAGATGTCATACTGAAACTGATTTTTTTCATTGGCGTAGAAGTTTTAGATGTTTATTTCCTGAAAAAATCAAGTTCTACGCCCATGGAATGATATTCATTATGATTATGATATGAGTTTCATTGCCCGATGAGTCTATGCCAACGTACCAAATTTGAAAAAAATTTCATGAGCCGTTCCAAAGTTATGAAGCAAAATCGATTTGAAAATTTCAACTTCAGAGCCGTCTAGCGCCCAAACTAAGCAACTTTTTACTAAGGTAAGTTTGCTTGTATCGAATTGTTTTGGTCTGAAGAATATGTGGTAGCTTTTTGTAAAGACCTTTTAAGGACACCCTGTATAATTTCCAAGAAAATGCACAGATATACCATTTTCATGTCCATATACTCACTGGAAATGGACAACATAATGGCAGAGTAAAATAATTTGAAAATCATTGGAAGGAATGATAATAACCAAAACAGAAAAATCAAGAAATATGATTGCATTCTTCTGAGCGGATACAACAGCATTGCTTCCTGTTCAGTTGATATAGATAGAACATGATAGGTACTGAAAACTGAACATAAAAATGGTATATTCAAGATCAATTCCTCCATCCAGTAACACGCAATGAACTAACGAATCTGATTTCTAGTTTAAAAAACAATACTTCTGCTGGTCCTGATGGAGTGTCTGTTTATTTAATAAAAAAATGTCACCAATACTTCCTTGATCCCCTATGTCATATATTTAACAAATGTTTTGTAAATGGCACGATTCCAAATAATTTCAAAGAAGCCACCACAACGCCTATTTTCAAAGCCGGAGACAAAAAACTCGCCACAAACTACAGACCCATATCGGTAATAAATAACTTTGCGAAACTTTTTGAAAAGTGCTTAAAAAGTAGACTTGTAAATTTCCTGGAAAAACATGAGATTTTATCACCATGCCAATATGGATTCAGAGAAAATATGTCAACGGAAAACGCCGTGTTTCACTTAGTGAATAAAATACTGAAAAGCGCCAATGAAGAGAAAAAGTGTCTAGCAGTGTTTTTAGACTTGGCCAAAGCCTTCGACACTGTCAATCACGATATCTTGTTACAGAGATTAGGAAATGTGGGAGTGAGAGGCAAGTCTTTGGAATTATTAGCCGATTATTTACAAGGTCGAACCCAAAGGGTCAAAATTAATGATATCTATAGCCAGCCACAGCCAGTCGCCATGGGTGTTCCCCAGGGCACTGTCATGGGACCAATTCTGTTCCTAATATATATCAACAGCATTTACAACTTGAAAAACATTGAGGGTGATATTATTTCGTTTGCTGATGACACGGCCTTGGTTTTCTATGATAACACATGGGACTCTACTTATGCGAAAGCACAAAACGGATTAAACATTATATTTTCCTGGCTGAATTCTAGTCTTCTGAGTCTAAACATCGATAAAACCAAATTCTTGACCTTCTCACCAACAACAAGAGACCAACCACTAGAGGAAAACATTTTCATACATACCCCCAACTGCCAAAATCCTTCAATTTGCTCCTGTCCACGTATAAAAAAAACGGATTCCATAAAATATCTGGGTGTGATGCTTGACCAACATTTACGCTGGGACAAACATGTAGACTTTCTCGTGAAAAGACTTAGAAAACTCATTTTCAAATTCTACGAACTCAGAGACAAAGTAAATAAACATTTATTACTAATGACCTACGATGCATTAGCAGAATCAGTTATAAGGTACTGTATTATTGTTTGGGGTGGGTTGAATAAAACAAACTTACATAATCTTCAAGTAATACAAAACACCTTGCTTAAAATAGTACTGAAAAGAGACAGAAGACATCCAACTGAGAGCTTATACAAGGAGGCTAGCTTATTTAATATCAGAAAATTATACACCTATCACTGTATACTATGGACGATGAACTCGCCTCTTACATATCTAAGACACATACATGACACCCGAGCCAGATCCGAGAGAACAATTAGTGTTCCTTTTTGTAAAAATGTATATACCCAAAGGTTTGTTACTTTCTTTGGACCAAAACTTGTCAATCAAGTTCCCATTGAACTACGAAATATAAAAAGCTTTAAAAAACGCAAGAAAACAATCAGATCCTTCGTCGATCACAACTTTGATTCCCTAATACAAACACTTGAATCTATCTACTGAACCATGTCCGAATAATTTATTAATATCTTATTTGAAGCTGTCTCCCTTTTGCCTGAGTGTCTTGTCCGATCCTCCTGTGAGTTGATCATTGATTTTTGTTGATTCTTAATTAATATTTTTTACTGAAATGAATGAATAGTTTCCTTCATCTTATTTTTTTTCTATTTACCTTCATGGTTGTGTCCAGATCTGGGAAAATACGCAACACAAGCTCTGCTTAGGCGTCTCCCAAGAACTGAACACCACCACTTATTTACTTATTTAGTTATTAATATTTTTTTTCGCAATTTAATGTAATAAGATACTATTTATTTACGATATGTAACATTAACAATATAAAAGAACATGTATGTATGTATCTGAATTGAATTGAATAAATTGATTGATTGATTGATTGATTGATTGATTAAGGAAAACATCATGTAACGCATTTGTATCACAACATCAAAGTCTGTCACTGAAGTGTCATACTCTAAGACAATTTCAGAGAATAATAATTTGCATTTTACATGTTGAAAACGGGAGCAGATTTGTTCCCGAAACGTGCAAAGATATAAGTAAAAATTCGATATTTTTTCAATATATCTATTTCTTTTCTTCATACACTTCTCGAAACAAAGTGTCACTGAAAAACGATTGGATGTGTCTTTTAGGCTCTCTGATAGAAAAAAATTAAACGCAGTGAGAATTTTTGGGGCAAATCGTCTGATTGTATATCGAAATAATTATCATATCTTTATTTTTTAGAAACGAAGAGATAATATCCCAAATAAAAATTATTGTGATTTGTTTTTATTAACATTCAGTATATGTATGGCAAAGAATATTGACAAGTCAGATGACAGTAATTTGTATTTTGAATTTTCATTGAATAACTATTGTGTAGGTCCATATCAATTCACACCGAATTAATTTATCAACTTCTCCCTACTTTTTCTGATATCGCTGGTCCCATAGAGTGTGTCTTTCGAAAAATTTGTTGGAGCAGCCAGCAGCCATGAAAGTAAATGGGTAATTTTATTCCTAAATGAAAAATTAAAAATTAATGTTAAGTTAGGTAGGTTACTAACTATAGTAAGGTTACCTCTTTATGTTTTTACTTTCCCGAAAAGGCTTTTTAAAAAAGCACTTTATATTTCGAGACAAAAATTATGTATTCAATCAGTTATTACAATATAAAAATATACTCTCTTTACTCTAGATCACTAAGATCATGTCTATTCTGAATTGCGGTTCGCAAGGCATCTCGTTCTTTCCCTGAAGTCGGATTTCTGCTGATGTTGATGTCAGCAGGTTCTCACGGGAAACCGGGTTGCTGTTCACATAACTACCTACCTATATACAGGGTGGAGCGATAAGTGAAATGACTAAAAAACAAAAAATAAATGAAAGAAAACTGTTGTTGGAAGATGATGAATTTTGAATTTCACCTTGCATTTTACTGATTAGAGGTCAATAGTTGAACCCGAGCGATTGACTTTAGCGAGGTCAGAAGTATCAGAAATATCATTTGCAATGTTGCCGGGCGTTAATAATATATTAATGTGAGTGTACATTTTTAAATGTAATAAACAATAGTAGATTGTTTCATTAGGATCAAAGGTGACAAGTTGTTTGACAAGCGAATTTTGCATCTGCGAGGCGGAGCGTCCAGCGAAGCCGAGCGAGAGCAAAATTTGCGATTTCCTGTCAAGTAATGCTCAACTATTCTATTAGACAGAGCTGTCATGGAGCTGTCATATTGCTTGCAATTTGACATTCCATGAGCGATGAGATTTTTTTCAAATTCTAACACAACGGAATCATTGTGATATCAGATACGGAAATAAAATTGACGACATACAAAGTACCTCATTGATGTATCGAACACAGCAAAACAAGAGCAATTTTGTGTTATAACCGTAGAAAAATTATATTATTTGAACAAAATGTCACGTACTACAGGTATATAAATAATATTGATTTTTGCATTCATACAGACGAGAAAATCCAAAAAATGTAGAGAAATGAACCACTATATTACTTTCCAGATTTTCAAAGATAATCAGATTGTACCAGATGTCATCAGCGTAGCCCCCGGAAAGTTACTCGAAGTAAAATACAAGTCAAATGTTGAAGTGAAACTGGGCAACGAGTTGCGCCCTAAGCAGGTCCAAGAAGCCCCAGAAGTTAAGTACGAAGCAGACGCAGGTGATTACTACACTCTGCTATTGACTGATCCAGATGCACCGAGTCGCAAAAACCCAACTGTGAGAGAATTCAGTCATTGGCTGGTGAGTTACTTTTAATATCTATATCTCAAGGCTGTATGACACCTGTTAAATTTGATGACAAATATGTTAACAAAAATGATGACAAAAATATTTTGTATGTGTCATACAGTGAAAAAGGTGTTGATTTTGTGCAGATTTTCAAACATTCTTGTAAAAATCTAGGACTGTCATGTTTCTAAATATTTTGATATCATGAATATGTATATTCCCAGCCAACCATGAGATGTATAAGTGATGTATACGCCACATCACTTTGTGACATGCGATATCGCATTTGAAGTCACAAACATGTTACCGATACAACGTGGCGATGTGAAAATGTCCAACTCAAGCAACATCACTGTGACGTCGTTCTGACATGAAATGCGACATCACATGAAAAATCACTACCAGGTCACATACAAGTGTACATTTCATATTACAAATACATCGCACTGCGACATAGATGATGTGGTCGCCGTTCCTGTGATATTCGTGGGATATATAATAATAATAATTATTCAACTTTACGAAGAAAATGTTCATTTTCCGAAAGTAAAAACAGATGATGAAAAACATATCATGACAATCACCCTAATTAGTAATCTTGAAGTAAAACATGACACATATACAGGGTGTTTCATAATTGAATGCTGATCCTAAAGGGTGATAATCCTTGGATGATTTTTAAGAAAAATTTTTCATATGAACATAGGTCCGTAACAGCTTTGTTTCTGAGATACAGTATGTTGAAATTTAACAAAAAAATCAGTTATTCCCCAATATCTCTGAAACCGCTCAGGCTTTTTTCTTCATTACAAATACTTAAAAATAGTTACCATAAAATTATAATAATATTGCTCAGATCTTTTGGTTACCACAATTGTGAAATTATGACTAAGAGTAAAAATCGAATAGGGACAAGCAAATGAATGCATTTTATTTTCTAACTCAAAAACCGTTCGCCGGACGAAAAAAAGACAAGAGACCATTTTTATGAGAAGATAGAGGATAATTACAAAAATAATGTTCATTTGGAAAAGAGACAGTGGCGTATCATTATTTTGATGAAAAATATGACAGGGTATGTTAACAGGGACGCCACTGATGGAAATTAAGAAATCCTCCATTACGGAAAAAATGTATTTCTATCCATACTCGGCATGTATCAACATTGAAGAAAAAAGCCAGAGCGGTTCCAGAGATATTGGGGAATAACTGATTTTTTTGTTAAATTTCAACATCCTGATTCTCAGAAACGAAGCTGTTACGGACCTATGTTCACATGAAGAATTTTTCTTAAAATCATCCAAGGATTATCGCCCTTTAGGGTCAGCATTCAATTATGAAACACCCTGTATATATACCAATACAAATATATACATTATTCATAAATGATACATATCAAATACACTTACATTATCTTGGGATCTTTCATCCACCTTGTTTTAGATTGCAATATTCCTATCTCAGAGATAATAACAATATTACCTATTGTGATTGAACTCACCGTCGTTCCTAAATGATTGTATACCTCCAATTTGAAGCTGCTATAATATGTGCTATAAATCATCTCAGATATTTCAACAGGTCACAAAGATATCTCATGAGGATATCAATGTGAATTATTTAGTTAACGTCGAAGAGATGTAGTTCGAAGAAGTTGCTGCCACATTACATAGTTTCCTGGTTGCGATGACACCTTGCGACGTTGATATCGAATCTACGTCGATAAGATGTGTTAACGAGATATTGCATTTATGCTAGGTTGTTACATCATACAAATGTTGATGTCACACGATGGTTGACTGGGTTGTATGGCACATAAAGAATATTTTTGTTATCATATTTGTCATCAAATTTAACAGGTGTCATACAGCCTTTTTATAATGAGGCCCACCCAAGGCGGATTCATGCACACCGCTACTTCATTAAAAGTTATTTAAAACATGGTATTTCCATTAAACCCATGGGCCTGTTTCAGTAAATAATTTCATTTCATTATTTCGATGTACTAACCCTAACTAGTTCACTGTCGCAATCCGTTTTTTATTCAGAGCTCTGTAAATTTTTTAAATAATTATTGATCTTCACGATATTTCATAACATGACGTAATCATCCGAGAACACCATATAAAATTCGACTTGCGTATCAATTCAAGTGCAAGAATATTTCTGATTGTCATTTCAATCAGAATATGGAATGCATTATCTGGATTGAATACTTACCTCAGGTAACAGAGAACCAACACAGAACTAAAGAATCAGATAATGAGAATTACCTTTGAATATTCGCATCTTGACAAGATGAAACAAGGATTTGACGATGAAGGTGACAGCCGACATTAACGTATATTGAACAACAATACTCTCTGTCTCATACTTGGGCAATAAATATTCGAAATCAGTTGATAAGAATCATCGATATCAGGAAACAAGTTTGAATTGAAGATTTTCATCCTGTATTTCGATTAGAGGCGAATTTTTGAAAATTTTTCGACTTATAAGTCTAATATGAATAATGGATATCGAGAAGGCCGTTTCTGAATGAATGGGCCATGGTTTTAGTCACCATTTTTGATTTTTTCACAGAAATGAGATTTTGTCCTATTTTCTTATCATCCTGTATATTCCACAATAGTGCTTTTTTCGTCTTTCATTGTCCTTCACAAAACATGAGAACAGTTCTTTCCAATAGTCAGCTCAAGTGGAGTTCTAGAGAAAAATTTCAAGAAATGCAAGACTTTAAAAAAAATCGAATTGTTGTTCCAATGGCCAATTAAGGAGAAATCACAAAAACGTCCCGAGATGAGGTCCCAGTGTATCATAATATGACTGATTTTTTATCAGAAAAAAATTTCTCGAGTTCTGGCAGCATTGGAAATGTAGACCATAGTGTAATGGTTCTACTTTACACCCTGTAAGTTTTGTTCTGCGGACTTTTTCAGAATGTTCTAGCTCTCTTTGAAGCCGATGAAACATCACATCTGATATCGAAACCCGCATGAAGATCGGTCAATTTTTTCAAGAAATACAGGTCTTCGAAATAGAGTCAAATTATGAGTGGTCCATTTAGTGTGTTGAGAACTGTATATCAATTCACACTAGAGGACATCATTTGAATCGGTTAACGTGACAACCATGGCGCACGACTTGTGGGCGTGGTCTTGTCAGTTCTGAGCATTTAGCACAATGTTGCTAAGTATCCAACATTCACATGATATGTTGTTATGGAGAATAAAAAATATTTGGATATGCTGGTTGCTCGAAAAAGTCAAGAATGAACTATAACATCATGAGTTCCTCCTATTATGTTTTATTCAACGACAGGACTCTAACATCTTTTTGGTGACTTGACAACCTTGCTTCATGAGTGGAAATGGAAGATTATCTGACCAATAACGAAACAGCATGAAAACTGACGCCATCATTTATTCGACGTATGGCCAAATGGCGGCCATGAAGGTTCGCTTGGAATGAGCTGAAATTCAACGATTTCGAACAACGCATGTACTCATTACTTACATAAAAAAAACATGAGAAGTGTTGCAAAAATCAATTTAGGTTCCTAACGACACAGTGGAGTAATTGAATGTCAATAATTCATTATAAACAGGAGAAAAAACGAACTCAAAGTCGGTCGACCACAATATTTAATATAAAAAATATAATCAGTGTGACTATAGTTTCGGCTCTACGGCCATCTTCAGACACAATTAAAAGTACCTAGAAAGTAACAGGTAGTGAACAAAATGGTAGCTGAGAAAGAGATGACATACCTGTTGTGGAAAAACATCTTAACAATAAAAAAAATTTATCAGTAATAATGGGTTCGTTATAATAATGATCAGTCCAGCCTCACAATCAACAAACTTTGTAACGGCTGAAAAGCCAAAAGAACCCTACAATAAGTAAGTTCAACATCAGGAGAAGGAATTAATTGGAAATCTACTCAAATGAGCTTCTTCTGACTGCCTTCAAACCATCAAAGGAAAGACACAGAAATGTAAAAATTGAAAGTAGTAATTTGACATTGACAAGACAATATTGACAATTTCAAACACAGAATGAAAAATTTTTTGAATGACAATCAATCATATGAAAAATGTAGCTCGACACCCAAAAGACACTTAATAATGAAAATTCGGAAATTATATAAACATCCAATAACAATGTTGATGACAGAGACACACGCGGAACAGTAATAAGAACTGCCAATCAATATAGAAGAAGATAAACTGTTCATGATAAAATTGAGAAGAAGACGAGCCAAACTTGTGTCAATCTAGTGAGTACAGGACCGGCTCTAGCTCAGGAAATGCTGTAATGAAAATTAAGAGAAATGTAAAGTACGAAAAATATGATTACGATCAAAATTAGTCTGGTCAATTAATTAATAATAAAAAAATACTCAAAAACATTTGAGTTCATCTTCAGTATACCTTCGCATAGATATACAGTGTCATTCATAAAGTCGGCATCATATGGGAAAAACTTTTATTATTGACTTATTTTGGAATTCGAGTTGGACGTTAAGTTTTGCTTCAAAAAAGATGAAAAATGGCCTACTCAATCGGGGTCACGTGACTTTCGCTACATGTCAAAAGTGACATTTTTTCAAATTAATCGCTGAAAGTAGGCTTATTTGTTCGAATATCGAAATTTACTTGAAAAAGTTGTTTCTATTTCAATTCTAAACATGCTTCCCGAATTTGATCTTTCTATTGCAACTTTTAGATTTTGATGTTTTTTTAAATTTTTCGGAATTTCAATTACTTATTATCACTGATTATGGACAGAAATATGATTTTCTTCAGAAAATGATAATACCCGCTTCCAAATTCTGTTATGTTATGTTTGATGCAAAGTTGATATATCGTCAAGCATTTAGAAACGAAGTTCATTTAAACTGATCTTTTCAGTACTGAAAAAATAAATTTGAATGAACTTCGTTTCTAAATGCTTGACTCAAACATAACAGAATTTTGATGTTATGTTTGGATCAAACATAACAGAATTTTGAAGAGGAGATTATCATTTTCTGAAGAAAACCATATTTTTGTCGATAATTAGTGATAATTAGTAATTGAAAATTAGTAACATGATTAAGCTACTGGTATGAAGTAGTTTTATCGAATTTACAATTTTTTTAATATTACAGAAATTTCGAAAATTTTTAAAAAATATCGAAATCTAAAAAATGTAATAGGAAGATAAAATCCGAGTCACATATGTAAAATTCAAATAGAAACAACTTTTTCAAGTAAACTTTTTCGATATTCGAACAAATAAGCCTACTTTTAGCGATTAATTTGAAAAAATGTCACTTTTGACACGTAGCGAAAGTCACGTGACCCCGATTGAGTAGGTCATTTTACATCTTTTTTGAAGCAAAACTTGACGTCCAAATCGAATTTCAAAATAAGTCATTAATAAAAGTTTTTCCCATATGATGCCGACTCTATGAATGACACTGTTAGATACAAGATACTCATTTACATGGAAAGTGGAAATTCGTTGAATGAAACGATATTAGTCGAAAATCAATAATGCAATAATTGATTATATTTATTTTATACGCAATAAATACAAATACTTTTGAAATGATTATTTTTGCCACGAATTAATTATTTAAATTTCAATTTTCAGGTTGTTAATATTCCCGGATCGAAAGTATCTGAAGGTGACAATATCAGAGAATATATGGGTTCAGCTCCTCCAGAAGGCACAGGCTTGCACCGTTATGTATTCCTCCTCTACAAACAAAACGGAAAACAGACTTTCGATGAACCCCATCAGGTCGCTACCGATGGAAATCGCGGGAGATTTTCTACTGCGCAGTTTGCTAAAAAACACAATTTGGGAAATCCTATTGCTGGCAACTTTTTCCAAGCTCAGTGGGAGAAGAGTAAATAAACCTTATTGAACCCGACACATTCCTGACAGTTACTCTAAACTTCTTCGAAATCTGCATTACTTATACAATACATATTTTCCATTCCACTGGAAATGGTCAAGAAACGAGAAAGTCAAGGTTGAGAGAAAAAATTATATTCTTCTCGATTCCCATTAGATTGAATGTAATTCTTATTGATCATATAAATTATTTATAATAATAATTATAATCGAAACAAATTCCAATTAGTAAACCACAATCATGATATAAAGCAATGAACTTAATTTTTATTAGGAGTAAGAATTGATAAGGTTGGCATCAATAATGAGAAAAAGTAAAAAGTTTAAAATATTCACAAGAATGTTATCACTTATTTCAACGAACTTGATTGAATATTATCAATAAACTTCATCCTTCCAAATTTTCGACTAATTTAAAATATCAATAAATATATTTTCCAACTTGACTTGCTGTTTGATTTGATGATAATTATATAATTAAGTGTGTGAAAAAATCATCGGAATTTCTTGATAAAATACTATTGTATCAGGAAAGTCCACCAATCTGATGTCACTATATTTTTTCGCTTGGAGCGCACGAAAGGGAATCCCTATAATGTTCAAGAGCATCGTGTGTTCCTAGGGAGGAGGTTGGTATTGGAATTTTTTTGAACTTCTGGAGATTATATGTTGTTGGGAATACTTCATCAGGCAATGAATTCCAGAGCCTAGCCGTTCTATGGATGAAGGAGTTTTGATAAAGTGCTGTTCGACATCTTTCGAGGTTGACAACGAAAGGATGATGTGCTGACTGGGCTTGTCTAGTTCGTCTGACTGGTATTGCTAGCGGAGGGATGATAGCAGAGATTTCCGAAGAACATTTCCCGTGGAAGTATCGGTAGAAAGGTGAAAGGTCGCCGACCGTTCTACGGTGTTCCAATGATGTCAAAGAGTGAGTGAGTGTGGCGTCACCCACCAGGCTGGTCCCTATTTATTTTTATTTAAAAAAAAACGGTCCAGTTTTAACCAGTCTGATCAAGTTCCAAAATGGTATATCCGAGTTTGTTATGTTAAACGAAGTCCTGGAATATCATTCTGCCAGCTTGAAATAGTCTGAAAACCATTTTGTCAACCCATATTCCGAGAGAAAATAAAAAGTGGGGGCAGAGAACTGTCAAATGTAATAAGAATTTTTTTCTATGTCATTAGGAAGGTACTTCAATGCCATTCAATGTGGTTTTTGAAATTTTCAATTATCTTGTCAATTTAGCAAGATATTGGCTGTATACGATAACTGAAATTGAGGTTGATTAAAATGACATTAATACCAAAATCGCTCAGTTGATTGTGTTGTATAGACGTATCGTTGAACATTAGACCAAATTTTGTCACTGCAGATTGAACCTACAACGAGCTACAGCATACTCTACTAGTAGTAGAATTAGCAATGAGGTAATAGTACATTACGTAATATGTGTTGTAAGAAGCATGTTACGCACGAATGGAAAAGTTACGCACGCAGTGGCGGAGCGGCGAATGCGTAATTCCATGAGTGCGTTATAGCTTTACAACACGCATTACGAACTATACTTTACCTACTGCCATATAGTACATCGAAAAAGTTTGGACAAACAGTCTGAATTATTGTTGACAGTTATGTCATCCGCTGTTGACGGCGATTACGCTACGACTGGCGAAATAAACGAAAACTGTGCGATGTGCTTACTGATGTGCGTGAAGAGCTACTTACTGAGGCTGTATCTCGTGTGTTCTTGCTTACTCTCTATAGTGGCCGTAGGTAAAACCTATATTCGTGACATTTACTCCATCAATGAATATCAAATCATCTTGACAGTTCAGTTAGATCGAATCGAAAATTGGTAATTTATTTACTGAATAATTCCTTAAAATAAAACAGTTGGCAACACAGGAAAAGGGAATATGACGTCAGTACTGGATAGACGAGTTTGCCGCCGAAAGCTATATGTTTGAACGTTCCATGAAATTGCGATTTTGTGTATTCCAATAGTGTCTTTTGAAGTGATACAGCATATTTCATCAAAAAGTATATAATATATTCATGTAATATGTTACTATTATATTTCATATATATGCAATTTCGGAAACTTTGAACAAAAAAATCAGGACATAAAATGTGATATGGTTGAATCTAGGTCGAGACAGAACGCTTGAACGTTAAGAACATTTTCGAAAATAAGATACTCATATCAAAAACTATAATCTACAAAGTGCTTATGGTTTGTTATGGTCTGCTGAAAGGTCAACGTATTTATAGTTCATTTAACAGGGTTCATACATTGTTTACAAACATTACGACTGGTATTATTGATGGATTTCCTGATTATCAGAATTAGAAGAAATATCCGGATATTTCCAGATAGCGCCCATAGGTTATTTCTTTCGGAGAATTTTGGTTGTTGCAAATTCATCATTACATAGGATAATTGGAGACCATCTGAAACTAAATCAAACAATTCACGCTGACCATGAATTGAGAAATATTTTTTTGACAAGCATAGCAACATGCAGTTTTCGCTCAGTCTACATAACAAAAGACATCGTGATTGATTCATTAACCATTAAAAGGACGAGGATAAAGAAGTGCGGAAAATTACAAGAGATGGTTCCTTGTCATATTTCATCAGGAAAAGTTTATATAAAGTGTACTGATTTTCTTCGATTTCGAAAACGGGATGTTGAAGATGGAAGCATCAGTTGATTGTTTCATGGTCCCCCTTTATAAAATTTTCTAATGGCAAAATCCAGACTGGTTGGTGACTAAAAAAGTCCCAAAATTTCATAATGATGGTTATTGAGTGATCTAAATGGGTGTCTTGAGAGCACACATATTAAAATTTGAGATCAAATTGAATTTTTATTGTTTCCCCAAAAATTAAGCGCGATACAAAAGTAACAATGTTAATGAGAGAGTTGTATCATCAATCTACTAAACATATTGAACTCCAATGATATTCATCATGAATTCCAATAAGGTGACCTAGATACACCAAAAGAAGCCAATGAAGAAGCTTCGTGTAACTGTCAATAAATCCACCAAGTTCCATCGAAATTGATGAAAAGGTTTCTGAGTGATTAATTAAAAAAAATAGTAGATTGCTTTACTAGGATCAAAAATGACACTTTGTTCGACAAGCGAATTTTGCATTTGCGAGTCAAACAAAGTCACTTTTGATCCGAATGAAACATGCTATTTTTTTGCAACCGAAAGAATTTACTAAAATAAATATGTGAAGTAACCACCAATGTGACTTACTTGGCAGATTATTATAATACATTTCTATAATAATATAGGTTAGTAGATGCAAGACCTCAGACTGGCTCAGATTACTTTACATTAGTATATTGGTAGACGATGACTTCACTTTGTTACAATTTGTGTTGACATGTATCATCAGATACTACTGGAACAAATTCAATATTATACCCGAAACGTGGATGCCGTGCCCTAATGCAATAAAAGAATTTTCTATGATTTTGAATAATGAATGATAGCATCAAATGTTATTTATATACCTGGACTGATCAATTTAAAATAGGTATGTGGCTTGAATTCGATTAGTGTGTATAACTCCATTGTCGATTTGGCAGCGATTACAAAGAGATCCTTAGAATTGGACAGTAGCAAATTATATCTCTTTCTACCAAGAATATAATTCAAGGATTCGAAAACAATCCATTTGTGGCATTGTAGTTCACAGCCGGTCAATGGTTGATCGGTCAAGGCCGATCTGATTATAATTTATATAGGCATGTCAGACGCGAGACGCATGTTCGAATCTTGGCTAGACGCTTGGATTTGGGTTCAGTTATACTTTGTACAATGTTTATCAATCAATAATTCAAAATACAGCGTGCCTCACTTTCAACGCCCCCCCCCCTGCATATTTCAGCTATTAGTCGTGCGATTCTTACCAAATTTTTACCGGTATGATTAACCATCAATATGATCAGGTTTTTAGAGACGAACATCCTTTTGGACAGTGCCGCGCGTTTTTATTAAAATGAGAAGAGGCCGATTTTTTATGAAATTCAAATTAACTGCAAATTTTGGAACGGTCAATAGCTCCGGTAGGTAAAAAATTGAATCAGTGAGAAAAAGAACAGTACAAGTCCAAAATTTGACATTTCGAACTGGAATAGCCATTTTGTCTGTAATACGAAGCTGCATCGAATGAGTCGAGAAACAGTATTAATATCACTATATCAAGGCGTATGACGGCGCTCATCGTGAAGCGTTGAGCGTAAGAACAGAACAACTTTACAGAGAGTTTTTCTTGTTTTCCCAAAACTGTAACATTTGGACTTGTACTGTTCTTATTCTCACCGATTCAATTATGATTTGGATGAAAAGATAAGCAGACTTTTTTGTTGAACTCACACCGTTTCCATGTAAATAATTATTAATGTTAGCAAAAATGCCGTTTATGAAAATTCTCATATGGACGTTTGAAACCATGAAGAACAATATTATAAGGTCCGTTTTCCTGTGACAATTCCCTAAGTGATTTCATAAAAAATTAACTCCTTTTCATTTCGATAAAAACGCACGAACTATCCAAAATGATGTTCTTATCTGAGAAACTGATCATATTGAAGGTCCAAAGAACCCTGCACATTTTGTAAATAAAATATGGTTGTCGGTGAAATTTTCTGAATATTAGTATGTTGTAGAATTCGATAAGCGATTCAACATGCAGAATTGTAGAGTTCAATGATGAACAGATTATGAAATACTGGGCGTTAAGTTACAGATCGGTAATTTTTATTTAATAATTCTCTCGAGATTTGAAGGTGCCAAGTGCATTCTTTTACGCTCATATCATTGAAGTACCTTCATATTCCTCAATATTATTAAAAGAAAAGCGAACTACCTTGAAAAACTGAGAATGATCAATAGAACGCTTTCATTTGAAAGTGGGAATCGACAGATTTCTTCACATTTCTTTTCCTACTATTGAATGGAATATTTGAATTCCTCTTGAATTTTCTTCTTCATACACTTCCCACCAACGATAGACTCTTGGAGTTATGTGTCCGATAGAGTTTTCTTGTTTTATGAGGATTGAGGACCGCAGTAATGCTACTGTGACTTGCGTTTGTGGCGTTATAAAATGTAATAGTGATGGGGACTTCGAGGAATCCCATGTCAGTCATATCAATGTTGCCGGATTGTGCCGATTTTCTTCAGGAAGAAAGAACTCCAATGATCTTGAACTGAAAAAGAAGTATATCCAGGGAAGGGACATCCCCTTGTATTTGCATTTTGTTTCAACTCT